TATATATATGTTCATGGTTTAAAAGTTGGACAAAAATATTTTATTTTTAAAAATTTATATTTTGTTAATCCGAAAGCGATGTGTCCATAATTGACTTAAGCCCTATTTCAAATATAAACATAATGCTTATTCATTTCATTTACTGCATAAGGTTTGATGGTGGGTATATAAGATTCGGCATAGTCGAATATAACATTCTTACATGTTCGTTCTTCAAAAGATACTTTTTGAATTTTCTATAATATTGAACCTACAAACATGAAATTAATTTTGTAGAGACCATTTTATGTGACTTTTTGGTACTTTTTCGTTCTTCAAAAGATACTTTTTTAAATTTCTATACTATTGAACGTAGAAGCATGTAATTAAGTTTGTAGAGCCCGGGCACTTTTTGGCACTTTTTCGTTCTTCAAAAGGTACTTTTTGAATCTTCTATAATAATCGAAACATGAAATTAAGTTTGGAGAGCCCGGATTAAGTGGGAACCCATAAAATGGGAATTTTTTGGTACTTTTTCGTTCTTCAAAAGGTACTTTTATAAATTTCTATACTATTGAACCAAGAAACATGAAAATAAGTTTGTAGAGCCCGGATTAGGTGAGAACCCATAAAAGGGGAACCCATAAAATGGGACTTTTTGGTCCTTCAAAAGGTACTTTTTGAATTTTTTATAATAATGAACGTAGAAATATAAAACTAAGTTTGCTCGTAATAAGTTGAAACCCATAAAAGGGGACTTTTTGGTTCCTCGAAAGGTACTTTTTTTAATTTTCTTTAATATTGAACCTAGAAACACCATAAAAGGGAACTTTTTGTACTTTTTCGTTCTTAAAACAGTACTTTTTTCGTTTTGCGAAAAAATACCTTTTTTTGTTTGCGTCCGATTTCAAAAGAATTATTATATATGAAATCTGCAGTACTCATCGACTACCTTGTCGTTGCTATAAATTATCTCTTTTTGCTTAGAGATATTCGCATTTGATAATTAAATTTTGAACTTTTTTACCCACTCTTGCACTATAGTTCAAACTACAAATTTTCCTGTGCGAAATTCAAATTTTGGAACAGTGAATATAATAAACTTTTTGATATCATTCTAATGCCAATACACCAATATATTCAATTTCACTATAAATTTTTGCGAAATGCTTACCACTATTCTACTACACGCAGTTAAAGTCATCATTTCAAAATATTTAAAAAATTTCTTTTGTAGAGTCTATATTTTATCATTATTTTTAAACGGTAATTCTGGAAAGTGTGTAAATAATTTTCAATAACTGTCAAATGGATAGTTAATGATTGAAAATAATATTCCTTCACTTCGTAAAAGACAATATTTAAAATAACCTTGAAAAATTGAATTTGATTTTAAAATTTTAACTTCATGAAAGTTTTTAAGAAATTGTTAACGTTTATTAAACCTGAAAGAAGAAGAAATTAATAACCTGAAATGTTGTGAATCAGTTTCTCTTTACCCGAAATTGCGTTTTGAGTAATTTAATATTTTCTACCTTATAAGTATTTTCAAATTTGATTAAAGGACTACTCAAAGGATGATGTCTTTCTGTCCTGTTACCTGTGGTGTTTGCAAGGAATTACTATATTTAAAGGTCCGAATTTTAGTAATTTCTTAGCAACAAAATGGAAATTAGTTCTAAAAAACTTTCGCGAGTTCGACAAGTCCTTCCAAAATGAAAAAAGTTGTGTTATATAAGTCATCTACCATGGGTTAATAACCACCAAAGGGTTAATTTTCGCTTAAATTTGTTCTTTTTTATCTCTTTTTTGATGAAATTTTCAGAGGTTATCTGAAGTCGTTATTTATGGACGGATTTTTGAAGATTATTGAATATTTGGATCCCGAAGATATCTGGGCTTCAGAAAATTGATTTCAACAGACGGACATAGCTTAATCGACTCCGCTATCTATAAGGATCCAGAAACTATGTATATACTTTATAGGGTCGGAAAATTATATTGTAGAAATTACAAACGGAATGGCAAACATATATACACCCTTCTCACAAAGGTAAAGATTATAAAAATATCGTTCCAAAGGACCAAATCTCCACTCACTATAAACAATCTGCAAATTAATCAAACATTAAAGATATTTCCACACTAATTTTCTGATTGTCTGAAATTGTAAATCTCCATTTTATATACATGATATATGTTTAACATTTCCTAACATTTGTTTAACAATCTTAGGTCTGTTTTCATATGCACAACCGGAAAATAATGTTTAGAATTATCTATCCAAAACTTTTACAAATCACAATAAAAAATCAAAGAAAATTAGATTTTTTTTGAAACGGAGACTTAAAAACCGTATAACCCGGTTAACCGAAAACCAATATTTTAAAAAAACCAGTTTGCGAAAAACCGAAATATGCAATACAAACCGGTTTTTCGGTTAACCGTTTTATAAACACTAATTTTATAACGTAGATAAGCGTTTTGCCAAAATACTGAATTGAATATTAGTAAAGATGTATATTTTTTCATACAAACTTAAATTTTCAATGGCTAATAAATGGTTGTGGTACTTGAAACAAAAATTTCATAGAGAATATATAAAACCCTTTAAAAAATTAAATGGCATCAAAAAAGGAAATTTGAAAACATTGTGACTCGTGCCCTTTTCAAAATGATTGTGTGAAATATTCCCTAACACAAATATGAGAGTATTCTAAATATAATTCAGTACAAACTCACTAAACAATTTTTGCCGAATTCGTACCGACAGTCTGCACAAGATTGCTCGGTTGCTCGGAACTCTTTATCTGAGGAAATTCGTAAAAATGTGCAGAGTTGTCGGTCAGAATTCGGTACGCAATCTGATGTAAATTCCTGGGGAAATTCTGAAGGAATTTTCGACAAATCTAATTGAAGTCGGACAAATGTCTGATACCATGTCTGACATTCTTTCGACATTTCGTACGAAAGTCTGATCAAATATAAGAAAGTCTGATAGATATCGGATAAATGTCTGATAAAATGTCCGACAATTCGTACATAAATCTGATCAAGTATAAGAAAATGACCTGATTAATCTGATCAACGTCTGATGAAAACTATTTTCATACATATATAATTTATTATGGTTTAATTTTATTAATTTTAATAATAATTAATAAGCTTCCATTATTCATGACTTCTTAGGGGTCATAAATAAATTATAGAAATTTATAGATTATTTTTAAAATTAATAAAATTAAACCATTCTACTTACATATTATATACGAAAATAGAGTTCAATATATACATCTATTTAAAATTATAAAATTAAACCATAAAAAATTATGAAATTTTTGGTAATTTTTGTGTATTAACAAAGTTTAAAGAAATTTAAACAATAATCGTCCCATATGCAGATGTTGCTTACTTGATTTCCAAAGACCAACTGAGAAAATAAAAATTGAGTTCCCTTTTAAAGTACAGTTGACGAATTTCAAAATATAAACAGGTTTGTGCATGATTTTATTTAAAAAAATAACAAAATTTTCCTTCAGATAATGTGCAGAGTTGTCGCAAAGTTTTCTTACAAAAGTACTAAAAATGGGAACAAAATGACCGAGCAAAAAATATCAGAAAATGTGCAGACTATTCTGTTAAATATATAAAGGAAATTTATATTATTCGCTTAATTGTCTGACGAAGTTACAAAAACAATTCTCTTCAGATTATGTGCAGATTTATCGGATATAATTCTTAAGCCATTTGATATTTTACTTCAGAAAATGTACAGACTATTCTCCTTTATGTCTAAAAAATAATATAGGAACAAGTAAGAAATTATAGTCGGGTGAGGCCGACCATATAATACCCTACACCTGTTACAAAAATAAAATGTGATTTAGTTTTCATAATGAAGCATTTCAGTTGAATTGTACATTGTCTCAAATATACTTAAGCCATTTATTGTGGAATAAAATTGTGGACATTTAAGACAAATTTTGGTACCAAATTTCATTGAGTTATCTTCAAAATTGCGATCTGTAGTTTGATTGCAAGTTTTACAAGCCCTATTCGGGGGTTCAGTTGTATGGGGGCTAGCTGAAATAATGGACCGATCTTAACAATTTTCAATAGGCTTCGTCACTAGGACAACAGAAGATCCGGTACCATAGAAGATCATGAACCAAATTTCATTGAATTATCTCCAAAATTGTGGCCTGTAGTTTGATTACAAGGTTTACAAGCCCTATTCGGGGGTTCAGTTGTATGGGGGCTAGGTGAAATAATGGACCGATCTTAACCATTTTCAATAGGATTCGTCCTGGGACAACAAAAAATCCGGTACCATAGAAGATCATGTACCAAATTTCATTGAGTTATCTTCAAAATTGCGACCTGTAGTTTGATTACAAGGTTTACATGGACGTACTGACGGACATAGCTAAATCGACTCAGAAAATGATTCTAAGCCGATTGGTATTGTTCGTTACAAAAATCAGCACAAACACAATATATATAATATAATAATACACCACAAACCCAATATACCCTCCCCACTAAAGTGGTGTAGGGTATAATAAAAAAACAAATTGTGCTCCGCCAATGTGCAGATTAGTCTCATAATTGTCGTAACACTGAAATTCCCTTTCGACAATGGGCAGACAAGTCTGATGTTAATCGTTTAATACTTAAGAAAATGTGCAGAAAAGTCTAACAAACAGTTTGCCGTAAAATGTCTAAAGGAAAATTATTTCAGAAAATTTCTAACATTAGACATGTCTGAAAAATGATTTACTGGGAAACTACAAAATTGTTGAATGGACAGGAAAAAAATTCTTTAGCTTAAAAAAAAAAATATGTGAATTATTTTCAAAAGATTTGAATTTTCTCTTGTTTGTGCAAAAAATTCAGTAAATCCGCCACGGAACGGACTAGTTTTAAATACATTCCATACCTATGTTTCATTTGATTTATGTATTATATTTTATATATCACAGCATTTTTATTAAATAAATATAAAAAATAAATTAATTTACCGAATAGATAGGTCCTGTGTTTTGCGTATCTGGTGTAAATTCCTGCCCATTATTGCTCTCACTTCCGCGCAATAAAGAAATGTTATCTGAACTATTGATCTTTAAACAATTTCCCATGGCAGATATTAAATTTCAGCAAACGCTAAAATAAAAAAAATATATGTATATATATATATATTAATATAACATTATATTGCAGGATAATAACAACTATCACTGTTAAAAAATAACTATAAATAAAATTAAAAACTCTTGAAACTGTGGATGGTAACAAGAAAATTAAAAAAACAAGTAAGTGTTCCATATTCGTCTTTGCCGAATCTTATTATTCGTTAATTTTACAAAATTTTAACTTATATTAGCTCTTTTCAACAACTTAAAGTTGTTACTATTTAGTACTAATTAGTAACAATTGTTACTGGAAAAGCGTTTATTAACCCTTTCACGCACAAAACTAAACCGCTGAAGTTTTTATGAAAATGAGTTCACTACACACTTTATTTTGACGTATATTGATAATTTTTGATGAAAAGTGGAAAAAGTGTTTTCGAAGGAAATCAAATTCTAAAATAGAAATTAGTTTTCTTTGGAAATAACCACTTATTGTAGATCTGAACTCAAAATGACGCTCTACATCGAGAAAAATTAAAAAAAAATCTTGGGACACCAGTGCACAGTACGTTGCCCCCATACAATTAATGGACAAAAGTAGAAGGAGTCATTGTCAAGTTAACATAAATTCAATTTTTCAGAAAAATCGGAGCAAGGATTTCGAATATAAAGTGGGTAAAAACGGGTAAATTTGGTAATGTCATATCTTCTAAACAAATGTAGATATCAAAAAAAGAATAAATTTTAAGAAATTTTAATGATCAGCCGTCGTTTGACTCTAGTCCCTATACAATTTTTTGAGGATCGGCCCATATTTAACCCTAGTTCCCATATAAAGCCTCTTTTAGAAATTTAGTTTTTCATCAATAAATTTCTTAAATACATCGGAATTAAGGTAAAATTCAACAAATTTTTTATGAAAAATAAATAATTTTTAAAATGTACTCTTAGCGTAGGGTATCATATAGTCGGCCATGTCCGACTATACTTTCCTACTTGTTTTGTTTAGTATCTCTCATATTTGTGACTACCGGATCCGAGGACAGTAATAAAAAATACATTAAGTCTTTATTTGTATGTAACCGTGATGTTTTTCTAGTGTGGGATAAACGATCCATTTATAATATCTGTCTATACAAGATAATCTACATATTAAATATAATATTTATAATTTAAAGTAATGTTTCAATTTGTTTCCAATATTAATGTAATTCATATCAATTTAAATTAAATTTTTAACTTCTGAAAACATTACTTTTCTAATAAAATTATCAAAAAATTTAATTTCAAATAAATATTTTTTTTCAAGGTTGTGGCAAAAAATTGGTAATTTTCTTTTTTAATTTCAATAAATAACTGTACAGTAGTTTTCCGATTTAACGACCATTCAATTCTACGAACATCGCATTTAACGAACAAGCTAATTTTTCCTATTGGCTACCTTAACGAACAAAACTAGTTTTTTGTACTCTGTTTAACGAACTAATAAAAATAATATTATTTAAATGAAGATAAAATGACATTTATCAAAAATAACAAATAACATAAGTTGTAGCGGTGCTTTTATACCCAAAACTGTAACACATTCTGGATTCTTATTAAATTTTAGTTCGATGTAGCTATGTCCGTCCGTCCTTCAGATAATGACTTTAACGCTCATTACTCGCTTAACAATACGAGTACGCCGATGAAATTCGATTCAAACATGTTCTATACTAACCGAAATCTCTAACAAATTTTATGGGAATCGGTCCATAATTGACCTTACCCTCCATATCAGGCCCCCTTAAGAAAATTACTTCAACGCTCATTACTCGCTTAAAAATACGAGTATGGCGATGAACTTCGAGAAATAACTTTAACGCTCATGACTGAATTAAAAATACAGCGATGAAATTCGACACAAATATGTTTTGAAGGTGGGTATATAAGATTCGGAAATTTGGGTTTTGTGCTATTTTTATAAAAAAAAGAATTAATTTTTATAAAATACATTTAAAAAATATTTTATGTACCTATTTTTAATTATTTTCCTACCAAAAACCCACGTTTTAGTTAGTACTGCATATAACGAACTTTTCAATTTTACGAACAGGCCTGACAACATATGGGTTCGTTAAATGGGAAAACTACTGTATTAACTTTAAAAACAAAAGAAAAAATACTACATTTTACATACTTTTGTTATATCATCCATCAAAATTAGAAAATTTTTAAATTTTGTAAAGGAATTTTTATAGCTATGTAAAAATCATAGGCAAGAGTATTTTACAAAAATATTTTTCAAATTAAGACATATACTTGGTTATTAGAAACACAAAACAAAAATACATTTTTCCAAAATTCTGATTTTTAGTAATTTTTTTACTAAACCTATCTGTAATCAACATTTTTCATCTTACAAAAATTTATTGACTTTAGAGTCCTATTTTCATGACAAATAGTGTCACATCATCAAAATTTTTGCACACATATCTCAGCAGCTTTATTATCTTTCCAACGATATATATTTTACTAATATTCTTTACAACTAATATTTTTGACTTTTGTCTATTGGACAACGTACTGTGTGGTGTGCCGTATACGTGAAAGACTTAACTCAAAAACTTGCAAGAAGAAAACAAGAGCGTAAACATTTTCTCTCGTTGTAAACTATTACAAGTTCTATTTTGTACTAGTAATAAATATCCTATACTAAATCGAACTGTCTTTTGTTTACCTTATTGTAAGCTAACGATTTTGTGTTTGTTTTAAATTAAAAATGTTTGCAAAGTGAATTATTTCGATATTACGTAAAATTTAGATGCTTTTAACTATTTTGAAAGCTCTAATTCTAATTTAAAATCAAAACTTGTAAACATAACATTTGAAAACAGTAATAATATTGAATTTATTGTCGTCAAAATCCTATTTAATAATAGTTCCTTATTTCTCACTTGCTCCTATATTTCCTTTGTGGTACTTGGAGATTTTAACCTTCCTCATTTATCGTGGAATAAACCTTTGGAACTTAATTACTTAATTCCTACAGTCTCAAATGAATTTGTTCAATCACTAATGATGCTCGGATTATTTCAAATAAATAATGTTTATAACACAAATGGAAGACTTTTAGACCTTGCCTTTGTTAATCATCCTATAGACGTATTCGTACGAAACTCGCCACCATTAACATTTCCTGAAGATGTCCACCATCCTACAATTGAAGTTGAAATTTATACTCTTCGTAATAAATCTCTACCATCATCAAATAGAAATAAATTTAAATATAATAAAACATACTGCTTCCATCGTACTGATTATGTAAAACTAAATTATTTATTATCTAACGTCGTTTGAAGTACTATATTTTCCGGAAATAATTTTTATGTCATCGTTAATAATTTTTATTCCATACTTTATCATTTAATTTCACAAACTGTTCCTAAAACGATAAAACGTGAAAAGAAAGGCCCACCTTGGAATAACTACCACTTAATAAATGCAAAAAATAGGAAAAATAAATTTTACAAAAAATACAAAAGATCTGGCTCCATAATTGATTTTAAAAATTACTCTGTGGCACGCTCTAAATACAATATCACAAACAAACTGGCATATAATAATTACATTCTTCGTATGAAATCAACACTAAAAACCAATCCTAAGTCGTTTTATAAATTTATCAACTCTCAACGTCGAGCCTGCCATTACCCAAGTTTCCTAAAGTTTTATTCCCGTAGTGCCGATGATGATCTATCGATTAGTAACATGTTCGCAGACTTCTTTGCTACAACATATTCTAAATCGACATTTGATAACATTACTCCTTACTCCTCTAATTTAATGCATTCGTCGAATATACATTTCACATTCATCCATAGTAATACCGTTTTATCAAACCTGAGATCATTAAATTCTTCGTCTTGCCCTGGCCCTAATGGTATACCTAGCTGCATCCTGAAACATTGTGCTGAAACGTTGTATGTATCTCTTACGGATATTTTCAATAAATCTATTGAATTAGGTTATTTACCAAGCATATGGAAAAAATCATTTATAATTCCTTTATTTAAAAGTGGAATCAAACTTGAAGTATCGAATTATCGTGGAATTGCTAAGCTGAATGCTATTCCTAAACTTCTTGAAAAAATTTTATCAGACAATCTATCACATCAAGTTTCTTCATTACTGTCTACATGTCAGCATGGCTTCTGTAAAAATCGTTCCACAACAACGAACATCCTCAAGCTCACAACCTTAATAAATGATGGTTTAGTAAATAAGCTACAAACAGACGTAATATATACAGATTTTAGTAAAGCATTTGACAGAGTGAACCATAATATGCTACTAAATAAATTATCGCTAATGGGATTTAGCTTTGCAGCTTTAAATTGGTTGTTTTCCTACTTATCCAATAGAACGCAACAAGTTAAATTTAGAGATGCCACTTCCAAAGTTATTGAGGTCCCATCTGGTGTTCCCCAGGGAAGTCATTTAGGTCCAATACTATTTACTTTATTTATAAATGATCTCCCTAATGTTATTTCTCATTCCAAAGTATTAATGTACGCTGACGATGTCAAAATTCTAAAAACCATTCGAAACTCTAGCAGTCAACACTTACTTCAATCCGACATCGATAAACTTTCGCAATGGTGTAAAATAAACCTTATGGATTTAAATATAAAAAAATGTAAACACATGTCATTTTTTAGAGTAAGAAATTACGACACCAACTATTTTATAGACGAATTGCCGTTGGAAAAAGTCCACAATATTAACGATCTTGGAAGGGGTGAGTGTTTACTTCAATACCTTCTAACTACTAACCTTAGTGTTTGCAATAGGGGTAATAGACCAACGTTTTTCAATAGGATCAGGGAACAGGTCATTGATATTACTTTGGTAGGGAACACTGACTCAGTCAGAATTCTTGATTGGAGAGTATCACTCGAGTGCTCATTCTCTGATCATCACAGAATAATCTTTACGATACAGCTTACGATGGCTAGGGAAACCCCCTTTAGAAATCCTAGGAAAACCGAC